CTCAGCCGAGTGATTCAACCCGGGAGAGGGGGAGGGCGGGGAGAAGATAAACGAGCCCGCGTCGCAACTGCGGAGGGAAAGTATACATATACCACGAGCAACTCACAACTGGCCTGGAGTACAGGCTACGAAAAGCCTCCTAGATGTTTCTCGCAATCGTATATGTGCAGTACTGTCACGGTCTACTCGGCTCGCCGACGACACAAGTTACGGCACTTTCGATTTTCCTTTGTGTGGTTGTTTCCGCACCGAATCGGTGCCACCGATGACTCGGGTCTTGTAACTAAACTTGATTACTTCGTAACCATCACTTATGGGAGCTGAATGAACGACGACAGTGTCATCACGACACGTGACATTCCTTCACTTCACATACTATGTGGTCTATTAGACCTCACGTCATTTACTGTCAGTTTGAAACTGAGCTGAGGTTTCACACTTGCGGCATCGATTGAGGTATAAGTACCATACAAAAAGACATACGTTCCCTTCAGCAGTTCATTTACTTCTCTTACCGACTTTACGATTCCCTGTAAGAATACCCAACCGTTTCAAAAGTAATCGCCACTGTGCGACCAAACATAATTATGACAACTTCAGAAGCTATATTGAGTGAGACGACACATTCTCGTGGTTGAGCATCCCGAACTTTGACAGAAATCTAGTCATAACTGGACGGCTATTCTACAGGTTTTGTTGTCGACTTTCGCAAAAAAAAGACTCTATTGATGGAGCTGAGAACGAAGCTAGGCTCTATGAAGTACAGTAAATTACTGTAATTCATAATATCACTGCACTTCACTGTCTTGTGTTCTGAGTATTACACAACCAGTACGAGATCCGAGGCTTCGTGGAACTTCCACGGTGGAAGCCATGGTAGCGAGATTACCAGCAAGGTCGAGCGCCTACTATCTGCCTCCTATCCTATCCTACTGCCTCTTACTCGGGAATTAACAATACAGCTCATCTGCAGTCCTATACCCTGGATTGGCTTTTCGTACTTCCTTCCGATGGTGCCGAAGCGTCTATTCTGGGAGCGTTGAATCGTTTAGAATGACAAGAAGTCGCCGCTCGAGATTGGACAACCAAAGGGTTGAGTGCCAGTTCGGAGGTTGCAGCCAGTCCAGGCAAGGGGACTCTCTGTCCCCTAACATCCCGATCCACGGTGTGGACGGATATACTCGAAGTCGTGATCGGGTCGTCGATTGATACTATAGGTAGTCGATGCTAGTGACTCTGGCAACACAATCCAAAGGGTAGATACGGGTATAAGATAATACTTAGCTGCGGTCGACAAGGTTGGCAGGAGTGCCAACAGTAATCCTCAAAAGAATCTCTCGAAAGACTCTGAATGCAATCGATCGTTTGACGCATGCACACGTTAGCTACGGATAAGGCTCTCGCGCTCGCCTTATACTGTCTATTCCGCACAGGCAGGGCCGCACAGGCGGACGACAACAAAAAGGTAGCTGACAATGGCCGAACGGAGTCGATTTACATATAGCGAGCAATCGATACAGTGCAGCTAACAGACTGGCCAACAGGAGTGGGCAGATCCTCCTACCACCTACCACAACGGTATGTTCTCGTCACTCCCGGTGACGTGACGCCATTGGTGACGTGACGTGCGCTCGTTGCCGCCCACAACTTATTCGATTATGCTGCTCCATTTGATCACTTTGTTGCTCATCTCATTCTCAGTTCTTATCTCTCGTACGCCCTTCTATCTAGTTTCTATGTCTGTTAATTCTAACAATGTTAAAGAACTCTAAATTTGAACTGGTGGAGTAGGGGTATGAAGACAGCTTGTCAATCGTCTGGCTGAAGGGTTGGACAAAGCTTGAATAGACACTCTCCCTGCACTGAAGAGATTCTGCCCATCTTATGTTCTTCCATGTTCAACGCAACATAAGATGTGTAGCGGATCTACACCAGAACTTGGGTCTGCGTGTGAAAATGTCGCGCGTGCGCAGATGTGCGTCTGCGTCTGCGTTTTCACGTGCCAGGCGTGCGTGAAACGGAAAGTGTACAGAAGTGAACTTCGTTACAACCAGTGTCATTTCCATTTGAGGGCAGAGATACTGAACCCAAGAGCTGCCACAGCTTCGTCTTTTCCGCACATAACAGGCTGTTATTAAAAGCTTTATGTCAAAGCGCTCTGCCCTCTTCTGGACTCTATTCGCCGTCACTATCAGCTTTGGTGCGAGCACTGGTAGTCGCACGCTGCTAAGGATATCTCACCGTGGAGTCCCACTCGACATTCGTCATGTACCAAGAATGATGGCACAGGCTCTCGCGGCCTCTGACGGAATGGTACAATCTCTCAGTCAAGATGATCTTGATTGTGAACGATGCTTCGCACAAGATGAGATGGTCTATGACTTGAAGGCATTGGGGGTACAAATTATAGACTCCAGATGTCCGGCTGGTCAAAATCAAATTCTGAACTACTTGAGGAAAGCAAATCATATGTTGAGCATCGACTTCGATTGCGAGCCCGACTCGAGGGTCACTCTGCATCCGGCTTTCACCACGGACATGGCCAAGTGCACTGGTGGCAATCCTGCTCTCGGCACAAACGACCCAGGTTCTTCATGTCAGCGTAACCTCGAGGTTATCAATTTAGGCGCTGCTCTCGAAGCGGTTCGCTCAGCCGGACGGGAGCTGAAGGATGTTGTGTTGGCTATCAGCGACACTGGCGTTGACATGACTCATCCTGATCTGGTCACTCAGTTCTGGAGGAATCATTACAATAATATCGGCTACAACTTCATATCCAACAATACTAATGTAACTGATGACCATGGTCACGGTACTCACTGTGCTGGTATTGCTGCAGCTCAGACTAACAATTGCATTGGTATCGCAGGGGTGGCAAATATAGATGGGTCTGCGCCAAAAGTCAAGCTGATGATACTCAGGTTCATTAATGCCTCCGGAAATGGATCTAAGAGTGACGCAATGAGAGCCCTCAACTTCGCGGTTGAAAATGGTGCAGCAGTCTCCTCTCATTCCTACGGGTGGTATGATGAGAGTAAGATTGTGAAGACCGCAGTCAAGAACGCCGCTGCTGCTGGGCATTTGGCCGTTTTTGCGGCTGGAAACGACGGGGCCAATTTGGAAAATGTGACGGATTATCCGTGCTCCTACGCTAACGAAACGTCACCAACGCTCTGTGTGGCCGCCAGTACCTCCGATCCAACCGAAAATATCTCTCTCGCCTCTTTCTCGAATGCTGGTTCTGTAACGAAGGTTGCCGCACCCGGTGTTGATATTTATTCAACTATGCCAGGCGGGCTCTATGGTTATATGACTGGTACATCGATGTCGACTCCTACGGTTGCCGGTGTCGCGGCTTTGCTGGGTACGCTCGGTCTAGATAGCCAAGGAATAGTGGACACTATTATCAAGTCTCGGACCAATGGTTTACCGAATAAATTCGGGCTATCTGATATCGGGGAAATAAATGCCTACAAAGCAGTCCAAATAGCTCTGAGCTCGCCGGCTACACGGTATTGATACTCCATCAGTCTGTGCGGCATAGGGCGTCACCTTTCTGTAAATGGATACGGACTCTCTCCTTGTGCTTGCATACAACGGTGTGAGCATAGGGTACATTCCGTACTATTGATTTTGAGCATTGACCGTTCCTAAGTTCGTAGCCATCTTAGCTCTAGGCCCTAGAGTCTAGGGTCAAATGTACGTTTGGGTAGCATCTTTCCAGCTAATGTCGGGTCGTGTTGACACAGGAGAACGACTTTTTGACCAGAGACGATTTTGGTCACGAAGTACCAAAATCGTAGCAGAATCTCGAGAATGTAGTTGAAGTGTGCGAGAGGGTGGTGGACGTAACGATGCAAAGTCTGGATTCCAGACCAAGTATCGCAGGAGATGAGCGATATACTCAATCAGGCCTTCAACCGCATCCTGGCCCAGGATTCCTGGGAGAAGTCCCGAAAGGAGAGGCGCATATATGGGAGGATTACGTCCGGGTTCACAACACGGCTCCTGCCCTTAGGTTATCACCAGCGGTTTAACCGCTGCGGTTAATTCATGTCAAATGATACGGTCGGTTTGTAGCTTTGCGGAGGCGACCCATCACCTGCAACCTAATTTAGGTTACCTAAAGCGTCACCAGATCGGACTCGACAAGTGTCGGATGACCAGCCTGGTCAGACCAGGGATATCTACGCCGTAGATTCTACGGCGTTGACCTAGCATTACTGAGTGAGCATCTAATTTCCCGGAGGAATCTGTCGTGTGCTTCCGCGCTGATAAGGCGATCTCCCCAGAGTCGAGGTTGACCACCAAAATCCAAGCATATGCCCATGGTCCAAGCAATTACCCATAGTCCAAGCTAGATCCGTAAATCCAAGATCGAGTGAAATGGTCGCATAACAGAGATACAGTAATCCAAGCGAGCGAGCGGAGCGAGCTTGTAGAAATAAAGTGGATCTTGTGATAAAATCCATGCTCTTATTTGAGGCTGAAATCTGAGCCAACTAGCCTCCCGCAATAGAGATTCATATTGTGTGTTTATACAACGCAAAGCGATTTGCAACACAACTGAATCGCTTTACTTACAAACGCTCAATTCTATTGAGGAGATAAACAATATATACACAATTCCACACACTCAGAATATGACTGTCATATTATGACAATTATGCAGATGACATGACTGATGTACTACTGTACATCCATATGAGAATCTCACAGTGGCTTGCCGTCTTCCCTCGAATGACGAACCCAGGTGCTGCTCTCGGCGCTATCAGATTCCGATCCGACATCCTCGCACATTTGGTCGGTCAAATGAAGCGGAGCGCTCCGGCACCATGTGGTGCTGTCTACGTCATCGAGTTCCAAAGTGGATGAAACAGAACGCTCGAGTTGGAGTGGTCTAGACTCTCGAATCCATGTCGTACTGTCAGCGTCGTCAAAGTCTCCTTCAGAGTTGGAATCTGATATGCGACAAACGGTTGGATTGAATATTCGGGTTATATGGGGATATGCTTCATCTTCAAAGACAGAGAAAACTCACGTAATTACTCTGGACGCTCTCACAACGGCGGCCATCGAACGAGAGTGATTCAGCATCGGATGAGGAGAAGCCGGGTGACGAATCAGGGTTAGATCCTTGTCTACTGCTCATATCGGTTTCGGATAGAACTATGAATGAAAGGATATCATACAGGAGGAATCAATCAGTAACATGTACGTAAATGGTCAGAGTAGTTATCATTTCCCTCATCCCTCTCGGCATCGTTCGGGGGCTCTAAAATGTGATCCTGTAGAATACCAGATTGGGCTCTATGGAAGTTCAGCATACCCGGAGCTGAAATAGCTGAATTATACCTCCCGAGAGGTGGAACTCGTCTCTCAGTCGGCCGACCGCGTCGGACTCCAGGTAGCCTTCGTTGTTCTGGAATATATCTATATCATGGTTCGAGAGTTCATCATTGCAACACATGCTACACGAAGCTCGGTGAGCGCAATCTTACCTCGGCATCGTTCCCATCGAGACTTCTACAGCATAACCGTGTGCACAGGAGGCCCAATCCCTGCTCTCTTTACAGTTGCAAACTATTGTGGATTGATTATCGTCCACGGTGACCCTGCGCGAATCATCCTCATCTTTTGTGAAGGTAACAAGATAGAAGCAATAATATCTACTCATAACTTCTTCTAATGGGAGCTCTGAGGAAGCAGCTTTCGAGTACAGTGAGGATGACTATTAGAGACGTTCTTCGAAAGTGGTTAGCCTTGTGAAAAAATGTCTTACCTTGTTCTATGTCATCGAGAAGTATTGCACGAAGATAAACCTCAATAGCGTTGTTCATCGTAGTGGAACGCAGTCTCTGCTCCAATCGATGATTTTCGACCACGAAACATTCTGTCATGGGCCTTTCGCCTTGGAGTCTTTCGACGGCATCAGTAACCTGAGATTCGATAGTTGATTCACGGCCAGGTATTGAGCAATTCCAATCAAGTTTCTCACTTACGTCATGAACACAGTTCCTGTTGCATAGCTTAGTGCCGAGCAGTTTCGCATGATGACTATAAGCTACGTCGTTGATAGTCATCGGACGGCGGACAAAATGCTGAGGGCTTGAACGTTTGATGGAGCTGATCACCTGTAGGACTGAATTTGAGATTCTCTTAAACTTCGGACGTTATGGAGGCCCTCCAGTGAACGGGAGATTTATATTACATCCCTTATCCGTGCTGCAAATTGTGAGATACGAAGGCGTTTCCTTCCAACAATCTTTGTCATAGTTTTGTTGAAAGTCTCCACAATATTATTCAAAACCTACTTGAGGAGCGAATTCGATCAGTTACGAGTCGGATCACTACGAAAGCAGAATCGGTTCAACTAAAGTGGGATCGGCTTACCTGTGTGCCACGGAGACCTCCACCATCCAACGAGATGTTAGGATATCCATATTTCTCCACGTCCAGGGTATTACGGAGATACACAGCTCCTCTGTGGTTCAGCGTTTCGACAGACGAGATCAAAGCTTTCGACAGCGTATTATATAATTCATCTGTGGGACTAGCGTGTAGCCAAAACTTGTATCTCTCTACCTGAACGCTCGAGAATGAAAATCGGGTTACCCCATTACGATGTTCTGGAGACGTTGACTTCGAATCATTACAAGTGGTAATGCATCTGCTAATTTGGACGCGTTATCCTTGATGTTTTTCGACAAATGATAGTAGCAACGCCCTAACAAATGACTTCAGTTCCGTATATATATAACGAGCCCTATCACCGTTCGGAACGGTCCGAGAAACTCGCTGTGTCCAATGGAACGGTCCGTTCCTGACGCCAGCGAGGTTCTCTCTGCATGCCGCGAGTGCCCCTTGATGAGCGTCGTGAACACAAAAGTTCACAGCATCCCTCAAGTCTCGAGTGCAACAAATTCGAGTTCAAGCAGCGACAAAGCTCGGATAAGGAGATCCAACTTTTCTAGCATAAACTCATACACTTCCGCTGATTCCTCATCGAGGATGGCCGACAAGAACGGAACGAATGTGTGACTATATGCTCTTTTCAGGGGGTTATACCTGCGAATTGCAGGATGTGATCAATATCGAGCTATGCATATCTCGCTTGCGACTCGAGCGTCTGCTTCTTGAAATTTTCCGAGTGCTGCTTACCAGACCCGCGTTGTTCCAACCCAAGCCACTTTCAAGCCGTCCCGTAGGATTTTATTCTGTACGTCCATATACAACGCGAAGCCTTCCGGCATAGAATCGGTATACCAAAGCAGCGAGCTCAACATGCCTGAGAGGCACCAAAAAATGTCTGACACCGCATGAACCGCTCATGAACCGTCCATTGGACACATCAGCTGTCTCCCCACTCTGTTTGCTGAGTTAGACAACCAGACTTACTTCCTCCATCAAACACCACTGCCCAGTGCGAGTCGCTCCAGAATCCTCCATGATAAACGAATTCTTGTGGAAGATCTCGACCTTCGCGTATGAAATGGACCATCGCATCTGTCAGCTTGTAACCAGCGAATTCCGCTTCCAGGTCATAGTAGTTGTTTATAATACGCATATTCACACCGGATCGAGTTGGAGCAGTATCCAACAATCTCTGAATCTGATGGTTCATTTGTGATGAATAAACATGGAGCGATGCGATATTGTTGCTGTTCGCAAGAATCGTTGATATAAGAAAGCCGCTCTAACCGGCCCGGCCTTACTTGGTAGCGGGATATTTTCCCCACGTATTCCGGGAAATAAACTTCGAGATTGGCAAGTATGGCAGACGCATTCAGATGCGATACGGTACCCTCCCGCATGATGAAGTCGATGATGTGCGACGGATGCCGATCTCGCATCCGAATGGAAAATTCTCCGCCGTGCTCTCCTAGCGAGAGCATCAACGCTCACGAGGCCAATCAGGGAAATCGCTCTCTTACCAGTCTTCTCTACAACCACTGTGTCAGCCGTCGCTGACACCTTGTACTTCCGAGGACATTGGATATGAGTTACACACCGGTATTGTGCAACACCTCTATCCTCGTTTTTGAACTCGTTAATGTACAAATGATCGAGACGCAGCCTGCTCATGGCGTCGGCGAAGATATTGATTCCGGGCCGAGGCTGAAACCTCTCGAATTCCCGAACCTGCGTCCATTGGAGTCTGGGCGGCATCGTTTGTGCTGAATAAACGGAACTGAAACATCAGTATCATCGTGACTCGACGCGCATCGGACTGGATTCTCATGTTTCCGAACACCAGGGACGGATAGACTGGATATCAGGTTATTGACATTGTTTTGAATCATTGCACAATTATCTTGAATAAATCATTCATAGCACCGTTAAGCTGTTATGAAGGGTTGATATGAGTAGAAGCTATTAGATTGGTTACCAGGACGGTTTCCCTATCATGATAGCAGCTCTGTTCAACTGAACAAAGCATTTTATAATAAAATTTTTATTTGACTTTTTGGAATGAAGTTTTGTTGAACTCTCTCTGTTCTATCGCGTGGCCTTTAATGAGCTATCTCCCAGGGAGATTCTCCCTCCACAGTGCGCACCGCACCGCACCCTACGCACTACAACTTATTGCGCAAATCGCACAACATCCTGAAACTGCTCACAATTTGCATCGTCACGTCGGCTCAAAATTTGAGCCTCAAATACATCAATAACAGTACATGTGGTGATAAGGGCACGAATGTTGATTAGGCCGGCTCCGTCTCAGCGTACTCAATCGACTGGGCCACTCCCCTTCCATTCTTTTTCGAATCGGCACTGTACTTGAAATTTAAAAACTCTACGGCATCACTAGTTTCAATTTCAACTCGGAGAGGTTTCGTCCAGCGAGCAATCGTTACGGAATCAAGCATACATATCGAACACCCTTTCGCATTCAGCTTGCCCGAGAATTCTATACTTGAGCCAAGTTTTACTCTAAAATCTGCGAACGCGCTCTTGGGCAACTTGGATGTAATCCGGAGTCCGGTATTACCACTAGAGGATTCAACGAATGAGATATGTATGTCTTTACTCTGCTTTCGACTTATACGCTTCCGAGCCGGCATCTGACCCTGGCCACCCGCCTTCCGCTTTTTGGCGGATGGAACACTCTTCTTGGGAAGGGCTGGTGTCACACTCATTGTTTTCATGTTCTGAGTGTTCTTGCCAGCAATCATAAAGTCCCGTATTTCCTCAACGGAAGAGCTGCTCTGCGAGTGATTTCCTTCATTTCCTGGCTGGGCCTGCGAGGGGAGTTCCACACGTACCTACTCCTGGGAGTCCGATGCTTCGAAGTGCCTATCACATTCTCACCTCCCTGTGCGCTTCCAGCGATGGATCTTGCCTCTCCTCCACATGCGACGAATTGGCGACACTCGATTCCACACCAACAGCTTTGCAAACTACATCATGACCCAGCATTGACGACGCATTCATTATGTCAACAACCTACAGAAGAGCTCCGAAATCGATCCTTACAGAGAAATCGGTATGAATTATTCATAATGAATATAAATCATATAATCATGAATCGGATGATACCCGCAATCGGTTGACTCTCTCAAGCTCCGCCTGTATCGTCTCCAACTTCACTTTGAAGGTGTCCTGGTTAGCAGCGATGGTCCTGCAATGGCCATCCCGTGATCGTGTGAGCTACTGCTGGTATTACCGCTGTAATTCACTTTCCCTATCGCGGGCTTTGATTTCATCACTTTCCATCTGGGGTAATATAAATCATGGAAAGTATAGGACGACAAAGCTCACTTTCTTCTCTAGAGCCGCGATACGCTCCCATGCATTGTCACGTTCATGACAGCGTCTGAGAAGATTGCCAATAGGAAACTTCTATACTCTCAAACAGTGCTACATTACTGCTGAGCTTCAATTTTCAGATCAGCAAGAGCGAAAGCACTAGATTCCTAACCATAAAACTAGCTGACATAGCTGGAGTAACTACCATTTTACTTGTTCCTGAGTCCATGCTTTTCTTGCCTCGCTAAACTCCTTCTTGACTGAATTCACTTCCTCGACTGCATGAACCACCTGTTCTTCCAACTGTTGAACCTTGTATTCCATTTCAGCCTAGCCAAAAACTGATGTCCTACTGGATTACAGCGATATTATACTACCCGTTCTCGACCCAATGTCTCTCTCGTCTCAGCTAATTCCCGCCTGGAAGTACTCGCTTCCTCAAGTTCATGTGCTAACTGCATCTTCAACTGTTGTATTGTATGATCTTTCTCAGCCTGCCAAAAAACGCAAGTAAGATGAAAAACTATGAATTCGCATGGAGAGTGATGCACCACCCACATATAGCCTCTGCTCCAATTCCTCCGTATGCCCAGGTAGCTGCTCCACTCGTCCTCGAGCAGCTACAGCATCTAGCTGGGTAGAAGGCATGATGGAGCCATCATCGGAGATGACCTGCATCAGAAAAAGTTAGCGATGAAAGAGTTAATTAATTGAGAGACTCTCTCAAACCCACAACATTATGAATGCAATCGGTAGTAATAATGACTTGCTACAAAGACGCATATACCGTATATTTGAACCTTTGGATAATATCCAAGAGTTCAAATGTACGGTATATGCGTCTCCATATCTCTCGGTATATACGGTATAACCAATGGATACCTGATGCTCACCTCGGCCTCTATAGATGCACATGACTCAATATGCTTTTGCAGGTTAGTTATGGTCAGCTGAAGTTCCTGTATTCGTTGGTCTTGTTTTTCACTCTCAATTTTCTGAAATTATACCAAAATAACTGCGAACATGCTACACGACTAAAATGACGAGGATCATTCTCTTTCTTATTCTCGGAGAATACGACGACGCACAGTGTGTGTCACACACCTTACATGCCGCTCCACGACAGAACGACGTCGATCACCTCTTGTCATGTGGATGGAGACTATAACTATGACACTTAATGAAGTATTACTCGCATCACCATTGGATCTCGACACAATACTCTACTACAGGACAGAAATCCATGAGCCGCACAGCGTGCATGACACAATATAACAGTGTTACAGTGTATTATACCGTCGGGTATCAATGATACCACGCCATTTAGAAAGTCGACATAGAAATACGTCGGTCAGTGTTGAACTACAATGGTACAGGGTACACTGGAAGTATACACAAGATGTACTCCAAGGGAACACTCAGGGTATACACAAGATGTACTCCAAGGGAACACTCAGGGTATACACAAGATACACTCCAAGGGAACACTCAGGGTATACACAAGATACACTTCAAGGTAACACTCAGGGTATACACAAGATGTACTCCAAGGGAACACTCAGGGTATACACAAGATGTACTCCAAGGGAACACTCAGGGTATACACAAGATGTACTCCAAGGGAACACTCAGGGTATACACAAGATACACTTCAAGGTAACACTCAGGGTATACACAAGATGTACTCCAAGGGAACACTCAGGGTATACACAAGATACACTCCAAGGGAACACTCAGGGTATACACAAGATGTACTCCAAGGGAACACTCAGGGTATACACAAGATACACTTCAAGGGAACACTCAGGGTATACACAAGATGTACTCCAAGGGAACACTCAGGGTATACACAAGATACACTCCAAGGGAACACTCAGGGTATACACAAGATGTACTCCAAGGGAACACTCAGGGTATACACAAGATACACTTCAAGGGAACACTCAGGGTACACACAAGATGTACTCCAAGGGTACACTCAGGGTATACACAAGATGTACTCCAAGGGTACACTCAGGGTATACACAAGATACACTCCATGGGTACACTCAGGGTATACACAAGATACACTCCAAGGGAATACTCAGGGTATACACAAGATGTACTCCAAGGGAACACTCAGGGTATACACAAGCTACACTCCAAGGGAATACTCAGGGTATACAAAAGATGTACTCCAAGGGTACACTCAGGGTATACACAAGATACACTCCATGGGTACACTCAGGGTATACACAAGATACACTCCAAGGGAATACTCAGGGTATACACAAGATGTACTCCAAGGGAACACTCAGGGTATACACAAGATACACTCCAAGGGTACACTCAAGGTTGAGTAAGGTGTACTTAGAGAAAACACCCGGGGTGTACACAAGATGCACTCGAAATATATACAAAATGCAACCTAGGTACCACTCAAGGTATACACAAGATGACCAAGAAGAATCTATGCAGAACAAACTGCGGATTGCTGACACATCAAAGTTTGATGATCTTACTCATAGCTCTCCAATCCGCTACTACTTTATGTTGATCCTCATATGAACATATCATCCTTCATGTATCCTCCTTGACGTCCTCCCGGAGGACTCCTCCTCAATGAACGTGCGATGTATATCTTGCGCTCTTAAGGATTCTCGTAGATCCTCAGTCGAAGTCCCCGGAGAGCGCAAGTAAAATGGAGCGCGTCCCAAAAATCAAAAACCAAAAGTGTCGGTCTGAATACTAGCATGAAATTAAACTGATAATCATGCTAGTATGATGCTCCACCTTACTGACAATCTCGCAGTGGTTCCTCACCTATCATTGGTAGATGAGAACCCCTACCAGATGAGCTGCATATTATGATATGACATAAATCGGCGATCCCAAGTCTAGCGTCTACGCCTTTCCAATCTCGAATTCAGGCTGAGTTATTCAGCAAGTGAAAAAGCAAATTAGACGAATGAAATTTGTTTCTCGACTAGTTGAAGGAGATTCCCACGGAATGGAAGTTCAGATTCAAATGAAAGTTCATTTTTCGTGCATGAAATCCATGGATTCGGAAACGCAAGTTCGAACACAAGACCAATTTCGACGAATGAAAGCTCTTTTTACTGTCACTTTCCCTGTACTGTCCAGCATCACAGTGCAGTCCGCAGATTACCATCAACACCCCCGCAAGTCTCAATCCATGATACAACGCTGAAAAGAAATCCCCTATGCCCCCAGAAAGTGTTGGAACCGTTAACAGAAACCGTAAACACCACCGACGCAACACCTAAACACCCTGACAAGGAAAACGTCATTTGCACAACGTGTTATCTGAAGAAATACCCAGCTTGGTAGAAAGGTTTTCTCACAAGCTCGCTACGCTCGCTTGTGTTACTGGATTAAGGGGTACTTTGGCTCAAGCGTCAAGAGTAGCTTGGAACAAGGGGACGAGCCTGGACTACATGCAAGAGCTTGGAGTAAGGGTGTAACCTTGGATCAAGGTAATTTTCCCATATCAAGTTCAGACGTCGCTAATGGCAAGTCTTTGTCTTCTATAGTGGATACAGCCCGAGGTGCCATATTGAGAGCCAGAACCCAACGTCGACCAAAATATTAGAGAGACTTAACTTATAATCATCACTGGTAGGCAAATGACTACAGCTTAGCTCAGCGATGATACGCTGAGAATCAAACACAATGGGACAAATATCACGAAAGACAACAATTGACACAAGCCGAATCTCACAGACCTTCACAGCATCCTACTCCAAAAGTTCTCAATGGAATCAGTTCTTTAATGACCACAATATTCTCTCTTGGTTGAGCGCTGCCGTTGCTCCGTGGGCAAGGTCGTGTTATGAAAAGCTGCATGGCGTTTGGAGGACTTTTCTCCGACCGATGTTGTTGATACCTTATACCCATCGTATGCTCCGGGAGTTCGACCCCCAGAGTATGCAGAATGTTCGTTCTTTACGTCCAATCCTGCTAGAGATGTCGTTGCTGCTCAACACCCGTCCTCTGACTATCAATTGTGAGGATGGGGTCATAACTCCTGACTCTCTGGTCCAGGGCCCCTGGACCAGGGGTACACTCGGTCTACGCCTACCTCTTCATTGCCATCTCCTATTGTTGAAGCAGACGAAGTTATTCCGGCCGCACCCGATTCTGTCGGCACAGCGGTTGTACCTATCAGTTCTTCTGCTGGCAGCAGGCTGCTGCAGTTCTCCCTTCTCGTGGACCAGATACTGCTCCTCATCGGGTTGCGGCTGTATGCAAGGTGTTCCTCGATTACCACACTCGGCGGTTGAAGGAGCGCAGTAGCTTTCAGTATCATTCTAACGGTCAGTGGAAGGTCTTCGAAGTTGGTACACCTGGGTTTGTTCAAGCCGCAGCGGCTTAGCCGCTAAATCTATCGTGCCGGACCGTATTCTGGAAGCCTACCCGGTGCGTGATGGGGATGTTCGTCGATATAAAGTAAGGTTTCTATAAAATAAGTGAGCATGAAATGGTGACCAGCCATGCAAGCATCGCTGCTGCTTCTCCTTAGGAGACCTTTGTTTCTGATGACGACTTGTGAGTCGTTATTGATGTCTTGTTCAACTCGCATTTTTTTATTTGCTATCTCATAGTCTGACTGATCAGAGGGGCCGCCTCCCGGAGGCGTATATATTGATGCTCGACCAGTCTGTGCGGCAGAAAGCGTCACCTGTCAGTACATTTCTCCTTGTGCTTGCCTACAAGAGTGTGAGCATAGAATACATTCCGTACTATTGATCATGAGCATTGAGCGTTACTGGCTCTCAACTCGAGGACTTGAGAGTCTCAAGTCCGTAGCCATCGTGGCCCAAGGTCTCAGTGTACGTTAGGGTCGCATCTCTCCAGCTAATTTCGGATCATACAAGGGAAGGGCAGGAGGCACTGGGCATCAACAACGCTTAAGAAAAACACCCAGTTTCCGAATATTTGGGTTGTTGCCGAGCCTCGGCGGCCGAGGATTTCTGGTTCCCCTTCCGGTACTGAGTCACTTCTCAGTCGTGTTAGTCGACCCTAGTCTTCTTCTCACCATGAATATAGCGGAGTCCATCTTTATTCTATTCGGTCCACTCCTACTGTACTTCCAACACGGTATGGGTATTGCATATTGTGGGGTAATGATTAGGGCTCAGGCCAGGAATATGCTTTAATCGACAGCTATCTTGGACCAGTTCACTTAAGCTTCTCTGCATTATATTTCAGTTTCTAACATCGGAGACACAGATTCTGTGTTGCGAGCGTCCCGGATTTTCTTCTGTTCGCGTTAGCGATAGGTAGTGCAGCGAACCCGAATGCAGCACTACTAGTGCTACGATACTCGCTCTCTGTAGTCACGGATGTAACACGGTTGTAGCCAAGAGCAGCTTTCGTGTTCTTTTATATGACTTCACTAATGATTACCTCATTACCTCTCAGCGTCAATCCGAGGTCTCACAACCGTCGCCTCCTCCGAGGAGGTTTCGAGGAGGCTTCTCGGAATCGACTTGCGCATGGTTAAGCAAGACAACTCGGAATGACCTATTCTCACAGCCTGTGAACGAGGACGATCTTCCTAGTACTGCATTATGCATACAATACCAATTTATACCATATATCTATGGACCAACCCGTATCAATGAGGTTGTAGTGATAATTCACTGGTTAACCCGAAACCAATGAGCGTTCCCTCA